AAGCAATGTTTCAAGAAGAAATTAAAGTTAAAACTGACCATTGTTATGTTATTAAGTTGTCCAGTTGCGGTCAGTCTGGTCAATATTAAATAATATAATAAATAATATAATACAATACAATAAAAATACTGCAAATTAAATTTTTGGGTAATTAGCCTCTAGTAATGATCACAACTTACCAAATGATGACCAACTGACCAATACTGTCATTATACCAATAAGTATTAAAGACGTTACACATTTTGCATGATTTTTACCATAATAAGTTATTATTAACCAAACTGACCACAACTGGACATTGTAACCTACCACTGGTCAGTTTTAACTTTTGTGGCTGAATTGGTCAGTACAACCTTAATTGAACGGCATTTTCAACCGGCAGTGAACGGCAGACGGCATCGACCGGCACTTTGGATTTGCCGTCGAACGGCACCGGCAGACGGCAATCGGCCGTTTAGTCAGTGCCATTGGGATCCCCTTGTGTCCCCAAGTAACTTTTGTCTGCATTAAAAATGTTATAAAATTAATTTTATTATTCCAAAATATACATCAAAATCATAAAATAAACAAAACATCTAATAATTAATTAAAACAAAAATCATTTAAATCTAACGCCGGGAGAAATTATACGGATTTTTATTATCCATAGAGTAATCAATTTCTATGGTTTTGATTGGCTTTTGTTTTCCACTTTTGTTGGACTTCAGGGATCGGGTGGTGGAGTACGTGGACAGTGGGGGTCCGGGAGACCGACGCCCGGAGGTCTGGAGTGTAGAGAACTGACGGTCCGGTACGTACTCCTCGTTGTCGTAACCGTCGCCCGAAAGATACGATTTGTGAGATTTGTTTGACTTTAGGGTCGAGTCGTACGGCTTGTTCAGTGACTTCTGGGAGCCGTACCGGGAGTTGGGAGCCGTCCAGTCGGCCCGGTATGGGTCGTACTCCTCAATGGTCTCGTCCGGCTCCTGTTCCACAATCTGTTGGGGAAAGGGATGTCAAAAATAATTTTTATCACAATATAGTACACCAGGGAATACGAAAATGATATTAAACCTTGCATACTTTACATATGACTGGTATGTGTAAAACACTACAGTAATTAATATGTAAGCAGAGATTTATACCATTTTTGTATTTTCTGGTTTCATATTTATCTATACATACCTCAGTCTTAATGCACCGGCAGGACAGGGATGAACACATAAACATGTTTAACAGTAACATCAGCAGCAATAGCACCGCTAATACTATGCATAGCGTTATAAGCCATGGGAACCGCCATTCCGTACACTCCGATAGGTTTTCCAGAGTCACTGCATGTATAGTAAAATGAATCCCTATTTAACCCCATATTCTAAACGCTAAGTCATTGTAATAATAATCACGTGAATCGTCGGTGGGCTCGAAGACAAACAGTGACGTAGAGGCAGACAGTTGTGAGTAGCCGTCCAGCGCCAGGTCCCGGCCCTTAAACCCGGGTGAGTCGCACACCGGCTCCTGACACCCGCCCCGACATAGAATGGCATCGCATTGGATGTTGAGTTTGTTAGTGTCCGGGAATTTGAACATTTCGTAGAGAATGGCTTCGGCTGTCTGTGAGGTATTGTACGTGAATTGGGAGATGAGGTCATCCGTGAGGGGACAGCCATATGCGTCTATAAGCTGAACCTGGTCATCCTCCCCGTCCGTAAATGCGAAACAGTTTTTGATCCGTAAGGATGTTATGCCTGTGAATAGGGTTTTGGAAATTAGTTATAATTAAATATGTAATTTAATTTTATTGTTAATAATTTTTGTAAATTTTATATAATATGATAATATATTTAATTTTAATTTAAAAATATATTTAGAATTATATTAATTTTATAACAATAAAATTTGGTTTGAAACTTTCCCCATAAATATAATTTACTAAACAATAAAAGTATTAAAGAATAATTTAAAATTAAAATACAGTTTTAATTTAAAATTAAAATTGAAGAAATTAATTGTTTTTGTGTCGATTATTAATTTTAAAATAATATTTTTAAATATTGGTTAGAGCCTACAGTCCCATTTAAACGTTATTCAAAAATTGATTATGATTAACCTTTTTCACAATTTTTATTACAGTTTAGGTATATACATAATTTTTAAATATATTTTATTGTGTACGTTAATTCCACATGTTAATGAAATAATGCTAATTTATGTAAATAATTTATTTATAATTTTTAAATGCTTATTTAATCAAATAATATAATAAAGTAACTGGCTTACTATCGTATGGTGTGAGCTGTGCCCGTAATATATAGGTGTTTCCGTGTATTACACGTCCGACTCTCTGTCCACTCATATCCGTGAGCTTTAGTGTCACTTTATATGTGCCCCCTCTGTATACAAGTTATAATAAAATAAATTTTCAAAAATATAATTACAATTATAAGTACCATGATAACAAATATTTAATTGTTAAAAAATAACAGACTTAAGTTTCATGTTTATAATTTAGTTGTGTTGCAAACTGTAAATTTATATTTACATTAAATAATATACTATACACCAACTCTTATTAATCTAATTTATCTTGGTTATACACACAACCAACCCTTGATATTTTTAATTAATTAATTTTTTTTATAAAAATAGCTAAAAATATATGAAAACCAATACTAACCGCACATTCCTATACCCCGACTGTTCACACGTCAGGAAATAATTTTTATCGTCCGATAACTCCAACGACTTATGGGGTCTCACAGATAACGCCACTGACCTCTCACCCTGGTTATATCACAAATTTCAAATAATTAATAATAATCATTTAAATAGTTGGGGTGCGGTATACAACTGTACATTTTAATATCAAGTAGAATTATATCAATTTTATAAAACAAAATTATATAACATTTATGAGAATACGTACCGGTATATTTAAATATACAGTATACTGTCGATTAATTTATTTATAATTAACTTATTTTTAAAAAAATATATTAATGTAAAAGTTGAACGAATTCAAGTTGACTATAAT